TGATTTATTGAGGAAACTTTCCAGTACACTTGGTGTAAGGTGGGGGAGCAGCTGCTGCCTCGGCTGCATGCAGCAGCATGCTCTTTCCAGCTCCTCCACACCTGCCTCGGCCTTCTCACCAGCTGTCAAATATGATGAAAGCAGCCACTTACTATGATGTTTTGGCGGTCAAACCCAGTGCCACCCAGGAAGAACTGAAAAAGGTTTATAGGAAGCTGGCCTTGAAGTACCACCTTGGTAAGAATCCAAATGAAGGGAGAGAAGTTTAAACAGACTTCTCAAGGTTAGGAAGTGCTCTCTGATTCTGCTTCCTGAGTGCATGCCTTATGTACGCGAGGAGTTGGAAGTCCGCTGGTTTTTGTGTTGGGCTGCAAAAGCGCAGGAGGTTCTCTTTGTGCCACTGGCTCAGTTTGAGCGGAGATGTAAATTGAGTGGGGGGGGGGTGGGCCTAGAGTCACCAGGGCGGAGCAAAGGGCAATGGCGTCTCCGCGAGTGTCAGGTTCAAGGGACTGGATTTTATCTATTATTTTCTCCAGTGTCAGACACAGTCCGTACCTCAGATGTGCAGCCCTCACTGGAGCAGGTACAGTCTGAGGACCAGGGTGGCTCAGTTGTAGCTGTTTCCATGGCTGCAGTTATGGGTTTCCTCCCATTACATCTCAGAGCACTTATCCTTGGCCTCCCCGTGTTCAGCGGAACGCCATCACTTCTCAGCTGCAGTGGTTTCTCCAGGGGAAACTTCTCTCAGAGTGACTTGATGTTTGTCTGCCTCCCCTTTGATCCCAGCACAGACTATGACCCTCAGGAGACCTCGGTAACTAGGGCTGGGTCTCTGCACTTGTGCCCACCTGTTGGGTGTCATGCTGCCATTCTATTTACTGGGGTGAATTCATGCTTCAGTTTGACCCTTCCTATGTGACACTGACACTCACCCTTCAGGAGAGCATATGCTTTCATATGAATTTAGTGACTTAATATTCAGAAGTGATGCTGGAGTCGTACATGATCCTGGTCTCAGTGGACGGGTGCTCACGTTTTATTCCTGCATAGCACCCACTACCCATGTGATTCCATCCTCTATATCCCTACCGGCTGAGTGAGACAATGGCTCTCACCATGCTTTCCCTGCAGCCCGGTCATGTTCTGATCCTCTGTCCTCCTTCCCAGTCTCCTGTGCCTGCACCCTGGTTCATTGGGTTGGAACAGGGTCCTTTTGAGTACAAGCCCTCACCACAGTGCCTCAGCACACTGGGCCACAACTGAGGTCCTTACTGTGCTTTTCCTGACAATCTGCCCTAACTGAGTCTCCACACATAACATTTTTT